TTTTAGTTTAACCATTTCACCGCCATTTGTTTCCGTTTAGTTAATACATATAGCTCGCTCTTAGCAGCCACGCTTAGGTATATTATACGGTCTCTTGAGTAAGTTGTTCCACTCAGATGAACTGCTGATGGCGCCTAGGTAGTTCATTGTATGAGGTTGGGGCTTCGGAAAGAGCGGCTGGATAGCTAGCTTATATAATTTACCGCGACTCCGTATTTATCCTTCTCCCTCAGTGACATCGTCGAAATGGTCAGCCCTACAGTTTCGAATAATTCGAAGCTGTAAGTCCGATCATTTCGGCGTTTCACTGGTGGATAAGGATCTGATTTAAATACGGAATGTTTTGCACTTTTTGAAATCGAAAAAATTATGTCTTCAACAATTTAGATGTATTTGATTTTTAAAAATGGTAATTAATGTTTAATTTTAGTGTTTAACAGTGGAAAAGTACAATAAAAATTTTAGAGGAGAAAAGAATTAGATTTATAAATAATAGAATTTGTGAAAAAACTTAATATTTTTTTTATTCTACTAAAATTGTAGGTTTCTAAACTTGATTACTTTGTGATAAATCACCTATTTTTGCTAATTCTCTCACCATTCCTTAATTGAACTATGTATATCCTTATTCTTATTTGTATATTTTATTGAGCATCTATCAACATATAATATATAGTAAGGAAGTGAAACATTGCGCTTATAGTTATGAATGTTGTTTTGTATCTCTTCCCGTTTATTGTTATTAAAAAGTCGGAAATTAGCATATTTACTCTAATATATGTGTAGCTAATTTCGAAAATTAATAATCAATCAAATTATGTTGAAAACTCATCGATTGTTTGAAAGTCATACCATTGTCGAGGGTTGCAACCGATTTTTCTTACCTTTTATTTAGACATAATTAAGCTNTAATATGTAGGGCTGTGAGAATTGATATGAAAAAAAGAATAATTCGAAGAACCGAATCGACTCATAGTATTCCAAGTAATATCGAATCGAAAGTCGAGTATACAAAAAACCCAATATCGAAAATATCGAATTATTGGAAAATCGGGCATTAATTATTCGAATAGGAGGTATAGTAATAGGAAGCTGGTAGGATACCACTAATAGTGTAAGACACCTTCTGAAACATGACTAGTTATGGATATAATATAAGCAGAAACAGGAGTAAAGAGGGGCATAAAAAGACCTAACTTGTATAACTGTCAAATAGTTAGCAGTACTTCACAAACTTCTTGTCCTTGCCTTTCTTTTTGTTGTTCTTGCAGCAAGAAATTTGTAGGCAAGAACAAATCATAACAAGGATTTCTCTTTATAAGAACGAGATTTTTCATCAGATTTTATAAAGAAGGAATAATTCTTACTGAGCGGGACAAGATAACAAGACAACAAGCAAGACAAGGATCATGCTTTATGCATCACCAATAATTGGGGATTTGGGATGTTCTAGTTTTCGGCAATTGCGAAGATAGCTTAGGATAGGAAATAGTAGTAGTGATGCTTTCGGACATAAGATCTTGTGATGATGATAAAATTGATCATTAGAAGAAATCAGAGCCAAAAAGAGTGATTATGTATTGTTTTCTCAAATATGTCTCTTCAACAGACTGCTTTTAATTAATTCAATTAATAACTTCGTGATTCACTTAGTAGCCCGTTTAGTTTAAAAATTGATTATATCAAAATATTTTTGCTTTTAATTTGATTATTTTATGTTTACCAGAGATCCAAATCTATAAGTGAGCATTATGTCAATACCGTCTGGATCAGCGTCAGTCAAAATAAAGGCTGGTTTTAAAGATTTCATCCACAATATTTTTAAGAAAAGTCGTGTATTTGTGTCCGGAAACCCCTTTCCCTTAAAAAGAACACATCAAAAGTCAGACATGAAAATTACCGAGCATTAAAAAAGTTTTTTTACTGTGATCAGGATGAATGAACTCGAAAATTTATTAAAACAATTTTCATCCAAAAGTTTTTGATAAATTGAGTCTTTTTTCAATCACCAGGATAAAGGAAGCACTTGTTTTAATTTTTGAAATTTCGGTGGGATATTGGGGAATAAGTGTACCTAAAATAGTGAATGATGCTTTTAAAAATATAGTTAATGAGGAAAATAAACGTGAACTACCGCCTTGGCTAGAAAAATTTATTGTGTCCCCCGAAGCTAATGTTATTTCTAAATTACCAAAGACGAGTCCTTTGTTTGATGCTAAAACTCCCAATTCCCAAGGGGGTACATCAAGGAGACAACTTACTGAATTTATAGCATCGTTAATTCTTTCTTGACAATTAACATAGTTTACAATTTGATAATAAATTTCCCTAAACAGTAAAGAAGTAACATACAAAATTTATTATTAATAAGAAAATTTATTTTANTTTTACGTAATTATAACCTAAATTTGACGCAACGAAGTACACCATACAATGGCATCGAGGGTGACTGATTTTATTATGCATGTATAAGTATTTTAAAGTGATTCAATGCATCTGATTGGCTAATTTGGCGGCGGCCATCATGGAATTTCATAAGTAGGTCAAGTTCAGTGCATTCGCACCTATTGGAATGTGGACGTAAACAATGCTAGGCGCCACTTGTAAGAATTAAAGAAGGGCAACTTTAAAACGGGATAACTCAGTTATTTCTAAGCCGATTTAGATGTGGTTTTCACCAAACATTAAGAAATTTAACGTTTTTTACACTAATTAGAAATATATATATAGTCTTAATGTATAAACACTTGAAAGAATTAGTTTACATATTACATAAAGTATATACTCTGCAAATATTAATTTAATCAAGCCCGAAAGATAATTCCTTTAGGATACTGAGTAAACCAAATATAAAGGCATAACAACTTGCCATTTATTATCGTCATTAAATGATAATAAGTGTAAATAGGCGTACATTTAATTAGCTACCTAATCAACTTTACGCTTTGCTTTTGGTTCTGCAAATTGAAATAAATGAAGCGTATCTACAATATAATCTATTTGTTTATGTTAATAGTAAAAAATTATATATTATCTTTTACGAATCTTATAAGGAATTAAAAGAATTTGATTCAAATATTATTTCTATTTGAGAGTTTAGTTAGATGTTCCGGAATACTGCCCTGTATAAACATTTGCCTATACTCCAATTTAGCGCGCTTATGTGAAATTCAAACATACTTTTTAGAATTAATTAGAAATACGTTTAAAACACATTATAATTACCTTTTCGTGCAAAAACAATTAGTTTGAACAAGAGAATAACATTTTCCAAGAATGTAAACTATGATGTTAAACTTAACTTGACTGCTTAAACTTTGATATCTAACAAATATATATCTCGAATCTTCTCGTTTATTTAACTTTAGTCTAGAATTAAAACATATTGTCTAATTTGTTTTAATTAATACTCCTTATATTGTGCTTTATTATTTACCTATCATCAGTAAATTTGCAATTGCTCCATTTAAAAGAGCGAATTTTAAAGGAAGGTCCACATTCCTTCTTAACTAAGTCAGATAATATTTCTGAAAATAATTTCTCAATTTGATTTAAAATAAAGTTTTTATTTGTATGTCGAGGAATATTATCGTATAAGGGATTATAGATTAGACATTCATTTTCACTAATCTTTTTTAACCCTTCTTGAAATATTTGATCTTTTTCGGTCAAGGGGATTGTTTTTAAAATAGTGCTATATTGTTGATCAAAAGAAAATGATCTATTATCTTGAGATAAAATATTATCTGGACTTAATTTAGCGAAAGGTTCATCCTCACAAATAGAATTTTCAATATTTGAATACCATGGAAATGCAATGTTATCAGAATATTGATCTTCAAAATGTGAAGATGTCATAGTTGATTTTCTTATTGAATTTACACTATTATTCATGAGAGTTGGTTTATAAATCACTTTATCTTCTTCATTAATAAATAAACAATCTATGTTCTTAGATTGAATTATTTCAGTATTGTTTTTAGGAGAAGTACTGAAGTGGTTAAAAGTAAAGGAGCTTTTCTCAGGAATATGATTTCTACTTTTTGACTTCTCTGTATTTAAACATTTGTTTCTTTTAATATCATTATGCATAGAAACATTTAAAGACTGAGGTTTAATATTTGGGGATTTAGTTACACTAAAGTATCTTTTTAAAGACGAAGTTTGTTGTTTGGCAGTTTTGTCTATCTTACTATTACTGTTTGGGTAATCTAAAGGTACTTTATTCAAAATATTACTATTCATAACAAGAATTTCTTCTACTTTTTTCTTTTCTTGAAAATCAAATTCTGAAATGTTTTCAGGTGATGGGGTAACTTGAGATTTGAATGAATTACATTTACCACACTCCTCAAACAAAGAGCAGTTACATCCTGCACTTACAGGACTATTACTTAGTATTTCTACTTCAAAGCTGGCTTGTTTTAATAAATTTCTAACTGAATATTCTGTATTTGCAAGAGAGAATTCTGTCACTTTAAAATCACTCTCAGAAGGTAGTCTCTCATAAGGACATTGTACACCTTCTAATGGCTTAGAGTTGATAGTTTCATAAGATATTTTTTGATAGTTACTAAAGTAGTTATCTAGTAATGTTTGGGAATTGCTAGTGCTTTCGTACTTTGGAGCTTCACTAAAATCTTTAACAGCAGTTTCTAAAATATCTTCATAGTTTCTTTTTTCTGTTTGTAACTTTGGATTACTAGCTATATTTAATCTCTCACTACCTGTATTTCTGTTTTGATGGGGTATATATTCAAGTAATTCAGTATTTTGGTCAATAGCTGAAGAGGTTAAGAGTTCAGTTAATTTACTTTTTCTATTCATTCTCCTATTTAATTCAATATCTGTGTATATTAATAGCAGCACACTTTTGTTAAACAGTATTTGGAGCATAAATTTTTATGTTAGAATTATGATTAGAATAATATACTAGCTTTTTTTAAAAAAATTCAAACAATTTTGACTTTTCTGCATTGAATAGTTGAACTGCGTCATTGTTAGTAGTTCAAATAACAGATTATTCAAATAAACTATTTCTCATAGAATGTGATAAATATGGAATTCTCCTAATGAACTTTATTCAGTATAGATGCCACAGATTCTTTTCTACTTTTCCTTTTTTGTTTTGTCGCCGGATGCTTAATTATTCTTAAACAGCTAATTAGTTAATTGGAACTCCAACGTTTATACAGGAAGACCTTAGAATTCGTTAATAGTTTCAAATTTTTATTCGTGATTTATATATGTAGTACGCTACTAATCAAATAGCAAAAATGAAAGAGAAACACATGATGTATCCTAAACTTTTACAATAAATCAAGTAATGGTAATTAATTATATCCTAACAAACATGATAGTTATAGATAAATGTCCGAGATCTAATCGTCATAATCATCAGTTACACGCATTTTTCTCGTTGAAACACCTGATTCAATGTCTTGCGCGGCCTTCTTCATCCTCTTAATTCTTCTACCAAGATTTCTTTTTTCTGCCCTGGCTTTACGAAGCGTAATGAAGGCATTGAATTGTTTTTCTTCGGTAGAAGGCACTTTTGCTTTTATTTTCAATACTGGCTTGGAAAGACTGTTCACACCTAACAATTCATTCGAGACTGTTACGGAAAACTGAATTGCAATAGTATATTCAGAATATTACTCGTTAAAGATTAATTTTTCAGAAGACTGATGGAGGAGTGTTTGTTAATGCTAATTCTTTACAGCATATTTTTTTATGACTTTACAAGCACACGTCTTTTACGATTCCACGATCTAATAGTTTATTCAAATAAATTCAAAAGATTTGAATGCAGTTTTACCTAGTGACTTTTTTTGAGAATTTATTATAAGCATATAGATCGTTAAGCTAGAAAGATAAAAGCTTTCTCGTATGAAAAAATTATAACACTTTTCTTTATAATCTTAACTAATATTATAAATGTGTTTGCTACCATTTCACGTCTTAAGTATTCAACCAATCATTTTGAAATTCTGTAGACACATTTTCAGGGATGCAGAAAAGGACATAGGGTATCTTTTATCCAGAAACAATGTACTGTTCGCGTGGGATAGAGAAATTAGTTTTTTGACGCGTATTTAGAATATCAACGCGAGCGAAGCTGCGGGTAAAGCCTAGTAAATAATAAAATATTAATAGAGCAGAAGTGGAGTAGACTACACCCTCCATGAAGTATGTTTCGAATGAGAAAGACTATTAGTTACAATTCTGGTTAGTGACCTAAAACCTTTTTCGTCAAAAAACAAAATAAAGAGCACTAGGAAAATTTCTTATTGCAGAACATAAAAATACAAACACAAGTTACAAAGATGTTTATTGTACCACAATGTACAGTTCGCCACACAGTGGCTTCTTCAGGTGGAAGAAGTAATACTCTTAAACTTAATTACACAACCCTTACATACTTAATTATTGTAGTGGGGGTCAATATTAAAAATAATACTAAAAGCTCCTGAACATTCAAAAGTCAATTAAACCTATTAGAAAGTCTAGAGATCAATAAATTAAATAGATTAGGATTAGTTATTAATGATCAAATCTCCACTTTTAAATGTTTAGGAGCTTTAAGTGCTATTTTTAGTTTAGACCCCACTACAATAATTAAGTATGTAAGGGTTGTGCAATTATGTTTAAGAGTATTACTTCTTCCACCTGAAGAAGCCACTGTGTGGCGAAATGTACATTGTGGTACAATAAACATCTTTGTAACTTGTTTTTGTGTTTTTATTTTCTACATTAAAATGGAGTTACAATATCTAAAAGCTTCATCAATTTAAAATTCCTTATGTTTCAGAAACGTCGCAAACTCCACTTTCTTAACAAAAAAATGTTACCTTTTATAACTAATTCTTCATTCGGCATCGAAATCTTTCCTTTAGGAAAAACGATCAGTTTAGCAAGATACTGTTTCAGACGCAGAACGTTCTGCTGTAAACATTCAGCCGATTTATTGATTCTTCGGTAGTCCACGGCAATTCCAATACTTTTTGCATAATCAGGATGTATTTTGGCAGATTTTATTTCTCGCAAGGTAAATCCTCGTCCAATTCTCTTCTTGGAATTGTAACGCACCGATGGGCAATTCACAATTGGACGTAAAAGATCGACAGGTTTCGGAGCTAATTTTTTCTGACGCCTATCACGGTTCAACCTACGGCGGTTCTTTTTGGCAGGTTGGTTAAACCACGTTTTAACGCGTTTTTGCCAATTTTTATGAAAGTGATTGTTCGGAATTGTATTATTATGACGAACCATTTTGAAAACGAGACCGGTATTAAATCGTTTTATTCACTGACAGAACGCGCACGTTTTTCGAAACAATCGAATTTTTTCGCAGCAAGGCATAGGCCACTGCGACATATAATTTTAATGGAAATGATTCAGAAAATTGTGCAACTTTTAGGTATATTTCCTTCCCTTATTTTAAGAGTACACTGTCGAAATCAAAGTTAAAATAAGGACAAAAGATAATTAATTTACTATAATTTGTGATTGATGCAGAAGTTCCGCTCTCCACATTCTTTATAGTATAAGCACGATCAGTCAGTCGAGAGAAGGAGGATTATCACTACATATTGTAGTATAAAACAAAGTCGCTTTCCCGCTGTCTGTCCCTATGTATGCTTAAATATTTAAATCTACGCGACGGATTTTGATGCGGTGTTTTTTTAAAGATAGAGTGATTCAAGAGGAAGGTTTATATGTATAATACATGCATAATATAATACGGAAACACTGATAATTTTAGAGGTTTGTAATGTGATGTCGTAAATAAACACATTTTTTGCGCTTGCATTGCAAACGCTGGCTGAACCCTACGAGATAGATCAAAATAATGTACTACAATATTGTACATCTTAAAAGGGTCTACAAAAAAGTCCGCGATGGTATATGTCTATCTCTTAGGGATAACCCACAATAACCATTTTT